GAGGCAAGCCTGCTACCACTACGCAGCTAGCTTTCGTCATGACAATCTGCTCAAATTACCATAATGTGATCATGTCTCGACGACGCATTCGCATCTTCATCGCCTGGTTGCGGCTCATTGTCAAGAAGACTGCATCTGGCTCATACAAAATTCTTCTCTCTGTCTTCTTGCGACTTTTCCGGTGCTGGCAAGATGTCATCAACACAAAAGAGAGAACTTGTCAAGAGCCACGGCGGGGTTTAGCGTTGAGTCTTCACCCAATCGAACGAGACGAGTTGCTGATAATTATATCCACAGTACGCCAGGTTTGACCTTGAGGTTAAGAAAGGCATTTTTAACAGTTCAGAGTAAGCATAGAGAGCCAGCCACAAAATTGAAATTGTCTAGTGCAGAGTTTACTCCGATAGCGGGTTGGGAGCCGCTCAAGCACCCAAAAAGGTCTTCGTTTTTCAATCACCTACACAAAGTACGTCAACTGCCCTTTTGAATGATCCCACTCATATAAGTGAGTTTTCAGTACTAACAAGGGCACACCTTCGGTCGTCCTTTTTCCAATCAATTGTGTTTACAGTGGCAAGTCATGAAATACAATATTTATGTAGTCTTGGACAGTCCTCCGTTTGTGTCTCTTCGCGTTCGACAACGTTGTATATGCCTTGACTAAAATCGGTTTCCCTCGACCTAGACGTCCCTCAACGAAAAAGAAGTTGCGCAGAGCAGACATCGTCTTGTCCCCATGTATCAACTAGCGTTGAAGCTTATGAAGGATGCCAAGGAGTTCGGCTACTACTATGCATTTGTTGATCACGACAAACGCTGGATCGAAAGCCGTACATATCATATCATAGAGACTATAGGTGTTCCGTGGAAATCTGTCTAGTTATCCACGTGGACAACTCGGTGGATAATACAAGGCCAAAATTCATAGGTGGATAACGTGCAGCCACGTCAGGGTGTTTTTTCTTTAGGGTATCATGATGTCGAATCACGTTCTCACACATTCTCACACACCCTTCCAAATATTGACTGGAAACACATTTCCTGTTTCAAAATAGTCGCTCTCTTCCGGAGGATGTCGTTGTGAGACTTGAACAAATCATTTGACATGCTCAGGCAGGTAAGCAACGGGTCGCGTTTGTATTTCAAATTTGGGATGCTTCTAAAGAAATACAGCAGGGTAGCAGTTGGCTCATTCTTCAGCATATTCTTTGCTGCAGCATTGTTTATTGGCTGGCATAACCACTCTTGCGATATGGCTCACTGGATGCCCACATCAGCACCCTGAATAATTGGACAATATCTCAGGCCATGCATCTGGACTGGTCTCTCTGTGGATTGTCGGGGATCGCATATTACATCTAATCTTACGACTTTCTATAGCATCTTCAACTGCATAACCCAATCTCAAACGAGTCCATGGGTCGACCGATATTCAGGGAAGCCAATGTTGCAACGGGGAGGGACCTGTGAACCGATCAACGGTGTTCAGGGTAGTTGCGCCGTGCTACAAGATTTTTGAAACGTTCTTGAAAACTCAACGAATTCGAAAGCAATTCTCTCGTTGACCAGAGACAGAAGTCGCAGACCGTGTCATCCAGTGCACTCTACGCCGTGGTACTATTACATCACACACCACCTCAAGTACAAACGAAGTCTAAATCATCGCTCGGAGGTGTCTTTCTCTCGCTCCGTTCACAATCTCAAACGAACACTGAAATGGTTCAGGGTGACTTCGGTAGAATTAGCTGCAGGTTCTCGAGTACATACTAGGCCACTTACATCGCCACGCCGGTGGTGAACTCCGGCTTCACCTCAATCTTGTTTCCGTTTGAGTCTTTGGCATGATCGATGCGCAAGACGGCGAGTATGGCAGCAGCTGCGGTCCACAGACTATTCTCTGCGAACCAGCGACCTACCAAGGAAATTTATCATTTTCAGCACTGCCAGATCAACCACGAATAATCCTACCAGGACAAGTACGCCTTGAAATAAGGGTCAGTGAATGATTGAAAATGATAGCAGGTACGGAATATTTACCTGCCATGACCAAAGGCAAAATGGTTGACGAAAGGGTCTTTCAGCTTCCCGTCGACTGTCAGATGGCGATTAGGATCGAAGCGCGATGCATCGGGAAATATGTCTTCATCCCGAGAGAGTGCCCTGAGCCACGCTCAGCTCAAGCCGCCGTTACATGCACTCCACCATGACATACCACTGGTTAACCATTACCATTGCACCTGATTGAACTGTGGATTAGTCAAAGACAACTTCGACACATACGACTTCGAACCTTTGGGTATGAAGTACCCGTCGTAAACATCATCATTTGACGTCGCATGTGGAATTCCTGTGCAAGTGGTCGAACATTCAAACAGAGTTATATTACTGCGGACTGACCTAAGGGAGCAACAGGATACCATCTCAGGACCTCGCGGAGGATGGCATCAAGGTAGGGCATTGACGCCCTGTCATCAAGGCACGGCATTCTATCGTGTTTCACAGCTTGATCAATTTCTGCGCGAGCCCGAGCTTGGACATCAGGATAGAGCACCGTGGCCAGCAAGAATGTCTGCAATGTGGATGCAGTCTGCGCAGTGCGGGACATCAAATCAGGATCAGGACTGCTTAAGTAGCGACACACTGTGTCCATGCCAACTAAGATCCCGTACTTCCGTCAATGGATGAGTTTTGTCCTGGTAACAAAAAACCTCTTACCTAAATATCCCGTCAACGCAACAGCCTTCATAGTGTCTTCATCAGCCTCGTCGTGAGCTTGACTGAGAAAGTCAGCGACCAATGAGCATGAAGCAATACCATTTGCCTTCACGCAATCAGATCAGGCGAATTTCCATCCACAGCTCTGCGCAAACGTACCATCTGTGCCTTTACTTCATTGAAGGGCTCGTTCAGAAGCTGTTGAGCCAATTCTCTACAGCGTCCGATCAGGGAAAATGCTCCACCGAAGCACCAGAATGGCAACTTTTCGACTGCAGCCTTGTGTTGAATGTTCAAAATTATGTCTTCGATAAAGGCACTCACGGAAAGGAAAGGCTGTGAACATGGCAGCCTTCTCGGGAGAAACAATACGATTGCCAATATCAAAAAGTTCGCGTGCGCGGGAAAGAAATGGGTCTTCATGTCCGTGAGCATGGTATCCATATGTCACAGCCATGATTAGGGACGCCGTGTATCTGTCACAAAGATTGATAGTCAACTGGACCATACATCACTACGACATCGCTGGATCAGGTACGAACGTTTCAGTCTGATGCTGCGGGTCACCAATGCCATCCAAGAGATTAACCACTAGCTCATTTGCGTGGCGAGAGTACATCTCGTAGTATGAGACCGAGACTTCGGCCCTGAGGACTTGATGGAATATCTTGCGATGTCGCCGTAAAGTCTCGCCATATGGCAGGAGCACAGTATTGAAATCCACTCCGGCTCTGTATCGTCAGTGAATGAAGGACAAACTGAATGGAACCCGACAATGCATACAATTCGTTGGTGCGAATAATGGGGCGAGTAGAGTAATTCCCAGAACGCTTGTCGAGCAGCTCCCGCGCGACAGTTTCAGAATTTATGATAATCAAGTCGATCCCAAATATTGAGGAGTGAATGATTTTCCCTATGATCAGAGATGGATTAAGAGCTTGGTAAAGGGGCCACCGGTCTGCTACCAACCATATGTCTTTCCCCATGCAGTATATGTGAGCCAAGGTCGTTTAGTATCCAGTTGCAGCGCGTTACCGAGAAATGGTAACGGAGGGGGGCCAGGCGGCAAAGGTAAAGGGTAGGCACGTTTGCGAGTCAGACGCGCAACGACAACCAGGGCAACGATGCATGATATCCCTGAAGCGAGAATATGAGTGGAGAACATGATGAGGGATTAGTATAGTCGAGCCCAAGACATATTTGATAATTCGGCTCATGATTGAAGGCGTCTTTGACCCGAATAGCATACTCACAGGTTTCGGAGTTGAAGACAGGTGTGATGGTACCTGTGAGGTGCGAGTCGCTATGTCAAGTACTCACCGGACTTTGACGCAAAATAGTTAAGTGCTCATTTCAGCCCGATTCTGTGAACTGGTGCTCCCAGTCACAAGCGTACTCCGTCTCGACTCTCCTGATCAAGTCACTAGCCATCGTCAACTTTCTAAATTTCTGTCACAACCAGGCGCCCCACACAACACGAACAGCTCGGTATATAAACTTTCCAAGTTGGAAGACGCGCTCAAAAACCTTTTTTCTAGAATCATGAACTTTTCGGAACTCCTGATAGGTTCTTCAGTGCCTTCACGAGATATTGGTTCATAAAAATTCATCCAATTGGGGCGGTATAGGAATTTTACCGGTAAGCTCAACATTGGATGAAATGGATACAATGACTTATTCGTGAATGATGATTTTGCTTTATATCGTCGATGCGATTAAAATCTATGCCAGTCTACCTAGGGTACTGCTTGTTGTCGATATCCACTGTCTCGCCGTCTCATTCGTCTAGACTCAGAGACGTCTATAACACATGTCTCCACCTAATTGAATTCTATTCTTTACATCCACCAGGCATCGCTGTTTGGAATTCAATGTTCTATCGGGGCGCATCTTACATCTGATCGTACGACTTTCTCTAGTGTCCACAGCTGTATAATGCAATCCCAATCTACGTAAGTCGTAGTACGAGCGTTGCAACAGAGAAGGGCCCGCGAACCTATCAACAGTGTGCAGCCTGGTTGCACCTGGTCACGAGATCTTCTGGTTTCTGAAGACTCAATGAATTCTCGTTCATCAGAGGTCGCAAAACCGTGCCATCCAGTGCACTCTGCGTCGTGGTACTATTACATGACACCACCTAAAGTACAAACGAAGTCTCATTCGAATTCATCATCGCTCGGATGTGTCTTTCTCTCGCCGTGTTCACGATTTCAAACGAACACTGAAATGGTTCAGGGTGACTTTGGTAGAGTAAGCTGTAGGTTCTTGAGTACATACTAGGCCACTTACACCGCCAAGCCGGTGGTGAACTCCGGCTTCACCTCAATCTTGTTTCCGTTCGAGTCTTTGGCATGATTGATGCGCAAGACGGCGAGTATGGCAACAGTAGCAGTCCACAGACTGTTCTCTGCGAACCAACGACCTGCCAAGGAAATTTATCATCCTCAGCACTGCCAGATCAACCACGAATAATCCTACCAGGACAAATACGCCTTGGAATAAGGGTCAGTGAATGATTGAAAATGATAGCAAGTGCGGAATGTTTACCTCCCATGACCAAAGGCAAAATGGTTGACGAAAGGGTCTTTCAGCTTCCCGTCGACTGTCAGATGGCGACTTGGCACGAAGCGCGATGCATCGGGAAATATGTCTTCATCCCGAGAGAGTGCCCTGAGCCACGCTCAGCTCAAGCCGCCGTTACATGCACTCCACCATGACATACCACTGATTCACCATTACCATCGCACCTGATTGAACTGTGGATTAGTCAACGACAACCTCGACATATACGACTTCGAACCTTTGGGTATGAAGTACCCGTCGTAAACATCATCATTTGACGTCGCATGTGGAATTCCTGTGCAAGTGGTCGAACATTCAAACAGAGTTATATTACTGCGGACTGACCTAGGGGGACGACAGGATGCCATCTCAGAACCTCGCGGAGGATGGCATCAAGGTAGGGCATTGACGCCCTGTCATCAAGGCACGGCATTCTATCGTGTTTTACAGCTTGATCAATTTCTGCGCGAGCCCGAGCTTGGACGTCAGGATAGAGCACCATGGCCAGCAGAAATGTCTGTAATGCAGACGCAGTCTGTGGGACGTCAAAATAAGAATCAGGACTAGGTAAGTAGCGACTCACAGTGTCCATGCCAACTAAGATCCCGTACTCCTGTCAATGGATGAATTTGGTCCTGGTAAAAAAAACCCTTACCTAAATATCCTGTTAACGCAACAGCCTTCATGGTGTCTTCGTCAGCGTTGTCGTGAGCTTGACTGAGAAAGTCAGCTACTAATGAGTATGAAGCAGTACCATTTGCCTTCATGCAAACAGATCAGGCGAAAATTACATCCACAGCTCTGCGCAAACGCACCATCTGTGCCTTTACTTCATTGAAGGGCTCGATCAAAAGCTGTTGAGCTAATTCTCTACTGCGTCCCATCAGGGAAAATGCTCCACCGAAGCACCACAACGGCAAATTTTTGACTATAACCTCATGCTAAATGCTCACAACGATGTCATCGGCAAAGGCACTCACGGAAAGGAAAGGCTATGAGCATCCCAGACTTCTCGGGAGAAGCGACATGTTCGCCAATATCAAAGAGTTCGCGCGCGCGGGAAAGAAATGGGTCTTCATGTCCGTGAGCATGGTGTCCGTATGTCACAGCCATGATTAGGGATGCCGCGTATCTGTCGCAAAGATCAATAGTCAACTGGACCATAAATCACAACAACACCGCTAGATTAGGTACAAACATTTCAGTCTGATGCTGCCAGTCGCTAGTGACATCCAAGAGATTGACGACTAGTTCGTTTGCGTGACGAGAGTACATCTCATGGTGTGAGGCTGACACATCGGCTCTGAGAACTTGATGAAAGATCTTGCGATGTCGCCGTAAAGTCTCGCCATATGGCAGGAACACAGTATTGAAATCGACTCCGGCTCTGTATCGTCAGTGAATGAATAACAAACTGGTGAGAACCGACAATGCATACAATTCGCTGGTAGGAATAATGGGGCGAGAAGAGTAATTCCCAGAACGCCTGTCGAGCAGCTCCCGCGCGGTGGCTTCAGAGTTTATGATAATAAAGTTGATCCCAAATGTGCGGCAATAAACGATTTTCCCTATGATCAGAGATGAATTAAGAGCTTGGTAAAGAGGTCATCGGTCTGCTACCAACCATATGTCTTTCCCCATGCAGTATATGTGAGCCAAGGTCGTTTAGTATCCAGTTGCAGCGCGTTACCGAGAAATGGTAACGGAGGGGGGCCAGGCGGCAAAGGTAAATGGTAGGCACGTTTGCGAGTCAGACGCGCGACGACAACCAGGGCAACAATGCATGATATCCCTGAAGCGAGAATATGAGTGGAGATCATGGCGAGGGATTATGGTCGAGTCCAAGACATGTTGTTCGCCTCATAAATGGCATTTTTGACCCGAATAGCATATTTCAAAGTCCAGGTGGTTCGAGTCGCGGCTCGCCATCGGTACTAGCCTATCGATAAGATTCCTAGGTCCGGAGCGAGCTCGCACTGCACGAATTGTCCTAAAATCTTATATGAATCGGTTATGTACAGCGGCCACCGGTCACCGGTCACTGATGAGATGACTATGACTGCCAGTTCGGCTCCTACAGCAAGGTACGAGCAAAAAGGTGAGGACCTCGTAAGTTCACCGCTCAGCTGCAAGCATGGACCTTACATAATAAGTCCATCAATATTTTCGCTCTTTTCTTGTAAATGAGATGCGATGCATTATAGCTAGTATGTACTCCCTCTGATATTGGTAGCACATATATAGTTCTACAGGGAGGAGCAGATGGGCTTGAGTTGACCAGAAGATGTTAACATTGTGAAACTACCAAATCGGGATATTTTTTGGGCGGTAGTGGCCGCTTCGGGCAACTTCAAATAAAATTATGTAACACGTTCATCCCGCAATTGAAATCATTGTTCAGAACTATAGTAGAGCTACTTGGAGGATATGCGAGTTGAGTATCTTCCAGAGGTGATCTTATTTTCAGAGCTGATGAAGTTCCCGAGGTCTTTTTAATATTACACTAGTCTGGTACCTTGTTTTCGCCACGGCTTAGCTCCGGGAGTCCGGGTCACCACACTCCTCAAGTTGCTACTATTCGGTTGCTTATTCTCATTAGCATAGCATCTAGCTGCATTCGTTCCTTGTTCTCCCCCCACTGCTTTTGTTGGTGTGACGGCTATCTTGACATGTCTATCATTTATGTAATATCATTTTCACAATGCGTCACAATAAGATCGCTGTTCGTTTGCCAGCCCACACGGCAGCTCAGTCCTTCAACGTCCAGCCCGAGCTAACGCTAGGACACAGCCAACATCACGATGCCTTCGCACTCGACCTTCTCCCCTTTACAGCAACAGAGAAATTCCTGCCGGCCATGGTGCTCTATCCTGACGTCCAAAGCAGGGCCCGTGCAGAAATTGACCAAGTTGTGAAGCGTGATAAAATGCCGCCCGTCACTGCTCTACCTTGATGCCATTCTCCGCGAAGTCCTGAGATGGCATCCTCACGTCCCCCTAGGTAAGTCTGCAGTAATATAACTGTGTTTCAGTCGTCGACCCCTTGCACAGGAATTCCACATGTGGCCTCAAATGATGATATTTACGACGGGTACTTTATGCCCAAAGGGCTGTCGTCAACTTATCTGTAGTTTGATCAGGTGCGGGAGTGATGGTTTATCAGTGGTATGTCACATTGGAGTGTGACGGCTGCTTGAGCTGAACATGATCCAGGGCATTGTCCCGGGATGAAGACATGTTTCCCGACGCATCACGCTTCAAACCTAGTCGCCATCTAACAGTTGATGGGAAGCTGAAGGTCCCTTTTTTTAATCATATGGCCTTTGGTCATGGCAGGTGGATATTTCACACTTGCTATCATTTTCAATCATTTACTGACCAGGCTTGCTGCAAGGCGTATCTGTCCTGGTAGGTTGATTCATGGTTGATCTGGCAGTGTTGATGAAGATAAATGTTCTTGGCAGGTCGTTGGTTTGCAGAGGGCACTCTGTGGACTGCAGCTGCTACCATACGCACTGTCTTACGCGTCGATCATGCCAAAGACTCAAACGGAGACAGGATTGAGGTGAAGCTGGAGTTCACCACCGGCTTGGCGAGGTAAGTGACCTAGTATGTATTCGAGAGCGTGTGGCTGACTCCACAGAAGTCACCCTGAACCATTTCATTGCTCGTTTGAAAGCGTGAACACAGCGAGAGCAACACACCTCCGAGCAACGATGGATTCGAAGTAGTCTTGGTTTGTGCTGCCGTGTGATGAATATATATATGACATCAACCCCGTGGCCGAAAGCTCAAATGAGTGCCCATAGAAGAGTGAAAAAGTTACAGACATGCTTCCACTTATGATCCGTTGTTTAGGATCAAAAGTTCTATCAAGCGCGACAGAGCGCCTTGCCCCGGTCTTCAATCTGCCAGTTGTACTTCCGATTTGGGGTTGTGCTTCTAGTGAAATTCAGCATATTCTGTACTACAGCATTGTTTATTGTGATCTCCCTCAATGCTCATTAATGGTCGCTTGGGCTGCCATAGTCATTCTTGCGATACAGCTCACTGGGTGCCCACATTAGCACCCTGAATAACTCAGACCATACATCTGAACCGGTCATCGTGGATCAGGTGATTGCATCTTACATTGGGTTTTAATAGGTTTAAACGAATTGAATCAACGCTCGCACTCGGCTCTGGCCGAGTCTCAGCTCTGCGCACATACCTGTCACTGATTGTGACATATGGTTGTGACTGAGTCTCCTAAACGCTGGTGACGCAGACTTCGGACTTCAGTCCTTTTGTCTCAACCGTCATCTTGGTTGAGCACGTTCTGCTTGCGCACGTTCTGCGCCACAATTTTAAGCTATTTACTTGAATTCTTGTTCTAAACTTCGAATTCGGTCGTACCTCCATGTCTAACACTCAAAATGTTTCATCCAACACCCAAGCATCACTTACAGGACCCGGACAAGCGGGGACTTCGTCTCAAACCAACTCTGGAAGGGCGACTGTTCCGCAACAAGACTTGGTTGAGAAGTGCCTCAACATCGTTGAAGACTTCAAACAATCACTTATCTCAAAGCAAGAAGCGTTTATCACTATTTCAAAGGTTGTCGCAGCCACCTCTAACGAAGTTACGGACCAAGCCGAATCTTTTATCGCGGGTCCGTACTTCGACATGCTTGAACAATGGTCCAATGACCTTGAAAGGACCAGAGCGTTTCGGGAACATGACCCTGCACGACAATCCGAAGAAAGGGACTTTGTCCCTCCTAGAGAGGATGGGCATGAGAGAGAGTCCAGTGCTGACGAAGGTGAACCCATTAAAAAACGGTCCAAACTTGACCTCTCTTGTCTCGGACGAGCCGAGCAATCATTCAAAGGAGGGCAGCTTTCAGCCAATCTCACACGCACCAACGAAATCCTACTCAACTGGTCGCAAGACCCTAAAGAGGTTCGGCGAAGACTCATGTACCATCGCTGCTGCCCGGAATTCCATGAAGCTGGATGGGCAGAAATTGTCGCAGGAAAATGCATTAATCTTGACGCCGTACACTCTATTATCTCCTCCTCGCGCACCATTGACAAATGTACCGAAACCATTGGGGACATTGAGATCAAGTTCGCCACCGCTACAGAGGCAGTTTCGAAGAAGATCACTACCTCTGCACAATGGTCCGCAGCGTGGAATAGAACCTCAAGGGCCATTAAGTTCGCGTTCCCTCATCGAGAGGATGAGCTCGCCGCCTATGGAGAATACATTAACGACAAATTTGACCGCAGTGTCGAGCGAGCGCATGAGAGAATCATTAGATTCGATAAAGCCGTTAGGAACAGGGCCGCAAACTCTCGAAGAGTTGAACTCTCTGACTTCTCGGCCTTTGCAGACATATATGAGTCCCACTTCTTATCAGATGGCAGGCATCACAACGAGGACAAGCAGTCAAAACTCGGTGCTTTGGCACGAGACAAGACCTCCTTTAATCGGCGAGAGCCCTGTCGTAAATGGAACTCAGGAGAATGCTCTCGCAGCGCTCAAACCTGCCGTTACGCGCACGTCTGTTCACACGAGCAAGACGGGAGATTGTGTGCACGACGTCACACGGAAGCGAGACATTTCGAGGAGTCTAAGTCCAAACCTACCTGAACGTCCAATTAAGCGCCCGCGACATAGACGGGGCCTTATTTGGTCTCCAATGGATCTTTCGTTTAGTCCCACAGCGCGTTCTACTGAATATTCAGAACCTGTTCCAAAACCACCTTCACATGAACTCCAAAACAGTGATGCAGCTCAGACCATTGCTCGAAGGCCGGACCTGTTTCGCATCGTCACGCCCATCAATGTTAACCGTTTCGAGGAACTCCTTACAGATCATCCGAATCAGCCTTTTGTTAAATCTGTCTGTTACGCATTGCGCGAAGGCTTCTGGCCTTGGGCTGACACTTCTGATAATTCATACCCCTCCATTAATGACAACTCTTCGCATACGTGTTCCAAAACCGACATACAACTTCAATTCATTGAGGACCAGATGCGGGAAGAAATCCGCTTGGGCCGGGTGTCTGAAAGTTTCGGAACAGAGCTTTATCCAGGGATGTATAGTGTCCCAATGCACACTGTTCCCAAACCCAATACCGACAAACTTCGGTTAGTTGTGGACCACACTGCGGGCGAGTACTCCTTGAACTCTATGATTGATCGAGACGCTATCAAGGGTACTAAGCTCGATGGTCTACATTCACTGGGGGCCTCATTGCTCCGATTTCGAGAGCTGCATCCAAACGTTGAGTTAATCATGTTCAAATCTGACGTTTCACAAGCCTTCCGTCGGTTACCAATGCACCCTCTATGGCAAGTCAAACAAATTTTGACTGTGCATGGTCAACGTCATGTTGACCGTGACAATAACTTCGGTGGTCGCGGTTCTCCTAAGATCTGGATATCCTTTATGTCACTTGTCGCGTGGATTGCTATTCACCGGGCTCTAATTGATGCTCTAAAGACCTACATGGACGACTCCTTCTCTTTCGAGGTCGCAGGACATGTTCTCTATTATCCCCCATATGACTGCTACTTTCCCGCGAAACAGACTCGGCTTTTACAACTCTGGGATGACCTTCAACTACCGCATGAACGACCCAAACAAGTATTTGGTGCACCATTGACAGTGATCGGATTTGAAGTCGACCCAAATGCTATGCAAGTTACTTTACCCGTTCATAAGAAGGCTGAGTTGGTTACAGAGCTACGTCGTTTCGCACGAAAGAATCACCGTTGGTCGCTTCGCGAATTCCAGCGTCTGGCTGGCTGGTGTGAATGGAGCTTCAATGTC